AGACATACCCAATTCCAGCAACCATTCTTTATATGTTTTAGCCTCCAGCCCCCTAATTATCTTTGTTGCTCTTTTCTGCCCTCTTTCTAGAGTGTCAACTTTTACATCGTGGCGACCAAAACTGGATGCAGTATTCCATGTGTGGCCTTACCAAGGCATTATAAAGTGATATTTAATATTTCACATGATTTTGATTCTATCCCTCAGTTAATGCAGCCTAGAACTGTATTGGCTTTTTTGGCAGCTGCAGTGTACTGCTGGTTCATATTTAAATGATTGTCCTCTAGAACTCCAAGATCCCTCTTGCAGTTACTACTATTGAGCGAGGTACCACCTATACCTGTGCATTTTGTTTTTCTTGCCTAAATGTAGAACCTTACTTTTTTCACCATTGAATTTCATTTTGATAGATAATGCCCAATGTTCAAGTCTGTCAAGATCCTTCTGTATCTTAAGTGCATCTTCTGGAGTGTTGGCTATTCCTGCCAGCTTGGTGTCATCTGCAAATTTGATGAGTTCCTCATCTATCTGCTTGTCCAAATCATTGATGAAGATGTTGAAGACTACTGGGCCTACAACAGAGCCTTGGGGTACCCCACTGCATACTTCCCTCCATGTAGAAGCAGTTCCATTTGAGGACTACACGTTGAGTGTCATTGGTTAGCCAATTATGACCACATCTTGTGGTGATGCTGTCTAACTAACATTTTTCTATCTTATCTTATTTTCTATCTTAACCTACTTAAGTAGTAGGTTGTGGTCTACTTTATCAAATGCCTTACTGAAATCCAAGCCAATTCCTCTTGTCCACTAATTTTGTTACTTTGTTAAATAATGCAGTAAGATTTATCTGGCATGATCTTTTTTGACAAACTCATTTTTGATTATGACCTCTTGGTGTTCTCTAATTTGTTGTTTGATTATCTTTTCCAGGTATTCAGGTCAGGCTGATAGGTCTGTAGTTTCCTGGATTTATTTTTTTCCATTTTTTTTGAAGATGAGAACTACATCAGATTTTTTCCAGTCCTTTGTTAATGTCCCAGTGCTCCAGGATCTTTGAAAGTTATAGTTCAGTGGTTCTGAAATTACATCTGTCAGTTGTGTCAGAACCTTGGTGTAATCCATCTGGTCCTGGTGATTTGAACTTGTCTAAGATGAGAAGGTGCTCACTTACCATTTTCTTGCCTATTTCAACTTGTATTCCTAATCTGTTTTTTACCATACTGTTTTTTATAAATTGGACTGTTTTTCCCTTTTGTGTACAGATGCATGCAAAAAACGAGTTAAGCAGTTCTGCTTATTCCCTATTTATCACTTTTTTGTCACTTTCTCCCACTAATGGACCAATTGTTTCCCTGACTTTTTAAATTGTTTTTGACATGTTGAAAGAAGCTTTTTTTTGTTATATTTTACTTTTGTGGCAAGCCTTTCTTCACTTTGAGCTTTAGCTTTCCTTACTTCATCTTTGCAGGCTCGGGCTATTTACTGATATTCTGTCTTAATTATGTTTAGTTTAGTTTAGTTTAGTGTCATTGCACATTGTACAACAAAATTAAATGCCATCTTCAGTGTACATTATAACTATAAAAATAAAAACACATCCTTTACATGCTATATAATTGAAAACCCGATATTGCATTAATATTGCACTATACCATAGAATTCAATATAGTGACTGCCCTGGGATAGAAGCTGTTTTTCTGCCTATTTGCCCTTGCTTTTATTATCCTATACTATCTGCCAGATGGTAATACCATATTTTTGGAGTATAAGACACACCGGAGTATAAGACGCACACCAAGGTTTTGAAGAGACTTTTTAAAAAAAAAAAAGTAGGTAGGTAGTTAGAGGGATAGAGAGGGAGAGAAAGAGAGAAATACAGTAGGTAGGTAGGGAGAGAGAGAGAGAGAATAGGTAGGTAGGTAGGTAGGTAGTAGGTAGGTATGGAGAGAGTGTGTGTAGGTAGGTAGGTAGAGGGATAGAGAGAGAGAAATAGAAAGAGAGAGAGAAATACAGTAGATAGGTAGGGAGAGAGAGAGAGAATAGGTGGGTAGGTAGAGGGAAATAGAGAAATATATATAGAGAGAAATACAGTAGATAGGTAGGGAAAGAGAGAGTAGGTAGGTAGGAAGGTAGGTAGATGTTTCCAGATGTATTTATCCATGTGCTGGAGAAAAAATCGCTGACAATTGCAGCACCTAAGACTTTCTGCTGGCACAGCACTTGGTCAATGTAACTCTCATCATTCAGTTAAAGAGCTTTCCAAAAGGAAAAAAAGAAGATTTTGCACTCTGCAAACCTCCCCAAAATGACCCGTTTTTCACGAAAATGGGCCCATTTAAAAAAAGGCATGAATAGCCTTGGGGAGGGGGGCTTGTAGAGTGCTCCGGGGGGAGGATGAGCAAAAAATAGTCAGTTTTTGCAAAAAACGGGCCTGTTTTTTGTCAGAAAATTGCATACATAGGCTTATGGAGACTTATAGAGTGCTGCTAGACGGGCAAAAAATTGTATGCATAGCCTTATGGAGGCTTATAGAGTGCTGTTGGGGGCTGTTGGGGCAAAAAATAGTCCATTTTTTGCTCATTTCTGCCCTCCCCAACCGCCAGGAGCTCTCTGAAAGCCTCCATAAGGGTATGCACAGCCATATTGGTGAAGGGGGCGGGGCATCGGCTATATTCGATGTATACGACACACCCAGATTTTCAGCCTCTTTTTTGAGGAAAAAAGGTGTGTCTTATACTCCAAAAAATACAGTAGTTAAAAAAAAGGGTGCTCAGGATGAGATGATCTTTAAGAATGTTTTGAACTTTCTTAAGGCAGCAGGAGCTATAAAGCTCTTCCAAGAGAGAGAGCAACCAATGATTCTCTGGGCAATGACATTAACGCTCTGGAGCGCTGTCCTATCTGCCATTATGCAATTGACAAACCATACACAGGTGCAGTAAGTTAAAATACTCTCTATGGTGCAGCAGAGGTCACCAGCAGTTTTTCATTCCATTATTGTTTCCTGAGAAGTTTCAGCTAATATAATCTCTATTGGGCCCTTTTGACCAGTGCTGCAATGTGAATGCCCCAGATCAGGTCCTCTTTTATGACAACACATATAAACTTAAAACTGGCCACTTGCTCCACTCATTTATGCGCCCCTCTTTCCACTTTGTATAGTTGTCCTAATTGCACATCTTGCTTTTTATACTATCTATATATGTGATAGTAAACCTATGGCATGCATGCCACAGATGGTATGAGGAGCCATATTTGCCAGCACGGAAGTCCCCAGCTGATTTTCAACCTTCTGGAGGGTTGGAGAAGGCAATTTTTGTGATCGAGTAGGTGTGGCCAACTTGTAAAATGTGGTGAAACCCACTTAACAACACTCTTGCTTATCAACCAAAATTTTGGGCTCAATTGTGGTCATGTTCTCTCTCTCTCTCTTTCTTTCTTTCTTCCCTCCTTTCTTTCTTCCTTTCTTCTTTCTCTTTCTTTCTTGTGTCTCACTTTTTCTTTCTCTTTCCTTCCTTCTCTTTCTTTCTCTCTTTCTCTTTGTCTCTCTCTTTTTTTCTCCCACCCTCCCTTCCTTTCTCTTTCTTTCTCTCTCTCTTTCTATCTTTGTCTTTCTCTTTTTTCTCTCTCTCCCTTCCTTCCTCTCTTTCTCTTTCCCCCCTCTTTTTTCCCTCTCTCCCTTCCTTCCTTGCTCTCTCTCTCTCACTGTGCCTTTCTCTTGTTTTCCCCCCTCTCTCTCACACACACATCCCTTCCAATTGACGAAAAATTCTCTGTGCAACCTCCCTGCCACCTCACCCAGCTGGGGACACTCCCAGCTCTGCTCGACGGCCACTCCTTTGCATCCCGTTGCCGCTGCAGTTGGCTTTCTCCTGCCAATCCTTCCTAGCTGGGAAAGAGGTCACATGGCGGCGGCATGCATGCTGCTCATGCCAGGGCCCGCTAAGATGCGGCCAGAGTGACGGGGCTGTCCCGGAGGAAGGATCGCCAGGAGAAAGCCAGATGCAGCTGACAATGTGGCACGAAGGAGCAGCCACCTAGCAGCTGCTGCGTCCCGTTGCAGGCGCTCAGGGCAGTCTGGGTGCCAGACCTCCCTGCTGACTCCAGTCCCGCGCAACATCCCTTTCACCCCACCAACCTCGGGATGCTCCCAGCTCTGCTGGATGGCTGCTCCTTTGCATTCCATTGCTGGCTGCAGTTGGCTTTCTCCTAGCGATCCTTCCTGGCCAGGAGAGAGGTCACAGGGTGGTGGTGCATGGGCTACTGACTGTCCCAGGGTCCGCCCAAATGCAGCCAAAGCAATGGGATTGCCCAGGAGGAAAGATCGCCAGGAGAAATCAAACTGCAGCTGGCAATGAAATCCGAAAAGAAATTGCAAACAGTATTCATGAGCCCAGCCAGCCAACCTCGCAGGTTTTCAAGCTTATCTGGAGAGGTGGTTGAAAAATAAGATAACTATCAAGCATGGGAAATTAGATGTCTAGGCATATTAATAGAATATAAAATCTATGTAAAGGTTTACTGCAAGCTTAAACTCTCTACAAAAATCTGAACTACTAACAATCAAAGCAAATTGGTGGTAGATAAGAGTGAACAGAATTCAATGTGGGTTATTTAGATCTCTTGTGGGTGGCACTTATGATGATGTGTTGAACCCTCCCTCCATCACTGGAGGCTTTTAAAAGGGAGAATTTTTCAGCACCCAACTGGCAAAGAAAGCTCTCAGCCAAGACTGGCACCATTGCCACTCCCAACGGCTGGGTGGGCAAAGAAAGTGGGGGGAGAAACATGGTGTGGACGGGCGAGCTGAGACAGAGAGCGACTGGCTGGGCAGGTAGAGCAAGTAGGGATAGGCCAGGCCAGCACAGGGTGTGTGTGTGTGACCAGGCCGCCACTGCTATCGGTCCACAAACGTATGGCTGATTTCTGCTACCGGTACACCTGGAGCGGTGTGTACCAGGAACAACCAACCTCTGATCTTGTGGGATAATTCTAGGACTCTCCCTAGCCCAGAAGAGTCATATAAATCATCTGCAGTTCTGAATATTTGTAATGAAGATAGCATATTGCTTCTATTTAGTTATGGCAGAGTTTGCTGCTAATATGTTTACATTTTCTCATTTCCCTCCCCCCGCTTATTTTTAAGGCTATGGTCAGACTGGTCCAAAATTTCAACAAGCAGGTTATGACTCAATTGCAGCTGCTGTTTCTGGACTCTTGCATATCACAGGGCCTCAGGTATGTTTCTATAAGTAAAATAAAATCCTATTAAAATTGAAAACTCCACTGCTACATATCATAAGGCATGTAGTAATGAGCAGAATTAATGAAGTTAGGAAATAAAAATCACAGAAGGAACATACAGTAAATATATAAGTACAAATGACCTCAGATTGTTTCAATTACATGAGAAGTTGTAATTATTGAATTGCTTTCAGATTATCAGCAATCTGTAAGATTTTGATACTAAGAAAAAATGCTTTCTTAGCCATAAAAGTATTGCCAATTTGTTCCTATAATCATTTTATTCCTGAATTTTCTCCATATACAGATGTATATACAAATATACAAACTATATTTGTTAGCCAGTTTGAAATTAATTTATGACAGCATACAATAAATTCACTACCAATTTCTAACAGAAGAAAAATAAAATTATCAATCAATAAGAACATGAGACAGTAAAAACTATACACTTCTAAATACAGGTATAGTCCTTTAGATACAGTCCTAATGCAGTATGCCCATTAGGTTTGTAAGTCAAAACTATCGTAAGATGAATTGGACTCATTTTTATGACATTTTGAAAAAAATATTTGTACATTTTTTTAACGTAGATTAGTGATTAATAAACAGTGTATTGTCTAGGTCAATTTACTTATACATAGCATCAATAATAATAACAATATTTACTTGTATATAGTCGTATTCTTCCAACTTCTAATTTCTACCTCTATTGTCAAATCATTGGTAAAACAAATCCCATGTTAAAAATATTCTGTATCTTCTTTATCCTTTATCTTTAATGTTAACTCGGGAGTTGGCAACCCATGGCTCCGGAGCCGCATGTGGCTCTTTGGGCCCTCTGCTGCAGCTCCCTGTCCCATCATTGACTGACCCCGCCCTTCCCTCACCTCGCCTGAAAAGGTAAGGGTGACGGCGGGGATGGAGAAGTGGCCAGGACTGATTCTTTGGTGCCTCACTTTTGTGGAGCTTGTTCTGGCCGTTGTTTGTGCTGGGCGTGCCTTGGTCTCTTGGGGAGACATGCAGCCCCTTCTCCATCCAGAGACACTGCCTTGCCCAGCCAGGACTGATATCGGCCTCACTAACACAAGGGCTGGTGGGGTAGGAATGGAATTCAGGAGATGGGCCAGCAGAAAGGGGAATGGGCCAGCAGCTCCCAGCCATAGCTTTAAAAGATTCAGGGCAGCGGGAAAAGTGAGCTGGCCTTGCTGAACCTTCCATGTCCACCCAGGGGTCAGGCTCAGAGAACACTTCACCAAAGACACTCGTTCGTCAGCCAATCTCCCACCCTCTCTCTATATCTGTCTGTGTATGTGTGTCTCTCTCACACACACACTCTCTGTCTCCGAGTCTCTTCTGTCTCTTTTGAAAAGCCATGGCTGGGCCAAGCCAGCAAGCTCTCCTTGGGGCTCTTCGCTACTGCTATTTCTTTCATGTAATTATCTTCNGGCTTTGAATACTTTTCACAGGTTTGAGTCATCAATGGCTAACTAACAGAAATAGAAGTTAGAAATCTAAAAGTATGAAAGAAAACACCAATTATGTAAGGAAAAGTCACTAAAATGTATAAGAAAATATTAGTATTTGACATTAATGTGTAGTTAAAGGCGGGATATTACACACGCACGCGCACACATACACACACACACTATGACAGTGCCAGGAAAACACCAAAAGAATAAGTTTCCCCCCAAAAGACTGCAGATGAAACCAGTTTTCCCCCTTCCTGCCCACCCATGCACCCCGCAAAGTCACCCGCTGAGCGCCTGCCTGCTCCACGGTCTATGTGAGCCTGGGGAGCAGCTGCAAGGAAGGCCTCAGCCACTCCCGGGGCTTGCATAGACTGGGAAGCTGGATGGCACTCCCAGTAACTTCCACCCACACCCGTGTACTCTGTGAAGTCGCAGCTGTAGGCTTACTTATCTGAGGAGGCAGCAGTAACACAATCGGGCAGGAAGTCAGCAAGGCAGGGATCGAGTCAGTAAGGGAAGACACGAGAGTCAAGCCAGGAAAAGAAATAAGTGGGCTGTCCATGGTATATAAAGGGCTCTCAGAGGCGGGGCAATCAGCAAGCCAGCTAGTCAGTGAGCGGTGGGCGGGTAGGCAGGCAGGGAAGCATGGTGTAACTGGACGGGCGGGGCGAGACTGAGCTGTGACCAGGTGGGTGGGGGGAGTGAGCGTGGGTAGGCCAGGGAGGGACCATACCGGTATGGGGGCCTCTGGCTCCACCAGTATGGAAATGGACGCCCGGTTTATGCTATCGGTACGGGCGTACTGGTGCATACCTGTAGGAACCCACCACTGTTTCAACGTCAATATGAACAATAATGGAGACAGAGGACATCCCTGTCTTGTGCCTTTCATAATGTTAACCTTTTCAGTCATATCTCTATTTACTTTCACCTTTGCAGTTTGTTTATAATATATTCTCTTAATCATATTAATAAATTTCTCCCCAAAGTCCATCTCTTACTTACATCAACATATCCTGCCAATTCACATTATCAAACACCTGGGTATCTAGAAAATCAACACCATTTGCTTCTCCGAGTGTACTTTGTAATATTCCAGTGTATTCAACATTGTTATATTGTCTTTGATTTGTCTTTTAGGTAAGAAACTTTTGATCTCTGTGTATAAATTGATTGAAAAATCTATTCAATCTTTCTGCCATTATTGAAGTAAATATTTTATAGTACACGTTCAACATTGATATCGGCCTACAGTTTTTTATCTGTTGGAAATCTGAGTCTTCTTTCAGTAGGAGGGTAATACATGCTTCCATCCAAGAGTTTAGTACTTTTGCCTCTTAACAGTAATTCATTAAATACTTCCAACATTGGGCTACTTATAATATTTTTTAGTTCTGCTGGTAACCCATCCGGGCCTGGTGTTTTGCCAGTCTTTTGTCGTTTAATTGCTTCTGTTAATTCCATCATTGTTATTCTTTCTTCTTGTTGCTATTTTGCTGTTTCTGGTATTGTAGGTAGTTCTGCTTTTTCTAAGTATCATTATTTTCCATTCTGGAATTTTTTCTTGATCATATAATTTTTTACAATAATCATGAATTATTTTCTTTTCATCATCATTTCGATAATATGAAGTCCCTTCATCATCTGTTAATTAATGGATCAGTTTCTCTTCTTTCTCATTTTTCAGTCTGTATGCCAACCATCTTCTGGTTTGTTTGCATTCTCAAAGATTTTTTGTGTTAGTTTCTTCTTTATTAAATTCAACTTATGCTTTTAAAGTCCATTTCATTTTTTATGTTCTTTGTTTGTGGCTCTTTTTGTAATTCCATCTCTAACTTCCTATACTCTTCTAGTTTCTTTTGACCTTGTCTCTTTTTTATTTCTCTTTCCCACATACATTATAGTTAGTCCTCTAATATATGCCTTTGTGATATCACATTCTGTAATGAAGTTTCTTTTCTATTCTCTTTAAAGAAAAAGTCTCTCTTTCCAACTCTCTTTCCATATATTGTATAAATTCTTTGTCTTTTAAAATTGTTTGATTCATTGTCCACCTTATTTTCTTCTTTTGTCCTTTCCATATACATAGCTTGTATTGGGTTATGATCTGCCCAAGTATTTGTTTCAATATTTCTCTCTTGTATAAAAAAAGTAAAGGTTCCCCTGCACATATGTGCTACTTGTTCCCAACTCTAGGGGACAGTGCTAATCTCTGTTTCAAAGCTGAAGAGTCAGCACTGTCGGAAGATGTATTTTGGACAAAGACATATGTCTATTTGAGTAAAATGTATATTGACTTTTCTCAGGATGCGTTTCTCGTCAAGCATCTTGCTTTTTCAAAAGTTTTATTTTCTTTTAAAACAAACATTTCATCATTCCTCAATCAGTGAGACATCGGAGTACAATTTTTTTGTGTGTCAAAATAGNTTGTTGTGACTTAGATGAAGTTCAGAGCACATTTTATGACCAATTCATGCAAAACTCCACATAATCCCAAGAGGTTCACATACTTTTTCTTGCAACTGTAGCTGTTACATAAATTCCCAAATATTTCATTTTCTTAACTACCTGAACGTTTATTTTCTTTTTCAGTTCATTTTTCTGCTTATCTGTAAGGTTTTTAGCTAGTATTTTCATTTTTTCTTTGTTTATTCTCAACCCAGCTACTTCTCCGTATTTCTCAATTTTCCCCATTAACTTAGGTCCGGATTCCAAAGTTTCTTCTAAAATAAATACCAGGTCATCTTCAAACCCTTGTAATTTATATTTTTCTCTTTTTATTTGCAGGCTTTTTATATCTGTGTCCTGTCTTATACTCCTGTTTAATACTTCCAATGTTAATATAAATAGTAATGGGGACATCATCCTTGTCTTCTGCCTTTTTTATGTTAAAGTTTACTGTCGAGTCTCCATTCACTTTTGCCATTTATTTGGAATATATAGTCTTAATCGTATTCATACATTTCTCACCGCACGCCATACAGTCTAGCTGTTGAACCACGAATTGCCAATTTACATTGGCAAATGCTCACGTCTTAAGAATATTAAGAATATTAAGAATATTAACGCCATTTGTTTGTCAGAGTATATTTCATAATATTCGAGTGCATCTAAGATAACTCTTACATTGTTCTTAATTTGCCTTTTACTTAAAAATCCGTTTAGGTCAGGGTACTTAAATTCATTCAAAAATCTTTTTAATCTTTCTGCTATTATTGATGCAAATATTTTATAATCTGCATTTAATAGAGATATAGCCTATAATTCTTTTTTTATTAATAATTTTTATTGCACAGTTTTTTTAAAGAAAAAAGAAAAAACTTCTATACCTTCTTCATTTAATCTTTCCTTAAGATTTACACTGTCCTCTAACCATTATACCATTCATTCCATACTATATAATAATCTGTTTCTCCTTTATCTTTGATTTCTTTTGTGAGTCTATCCATCTCTACACACTCTAAGACTTTCCTTATCACCTCTTCCTCTGATGGAATGAAATTATTCTTCCACTTCTGTGCATACATAATTCTAGCTGCCGTTGTAAAATGTAAAATTAGATATTGTCTTTTTTATCATATTTCCCTGTAAATATTCCCAATAAAAATAATTCCGGTTTCATGTCTATTTGCTGCTTGGTTATTTCTTTGAGCCATTTTCTTAAATCTATTCCAATATTGTTTTTCTTTACTTTTGGGCACGTCTATCCCATATGGTAGAATGTTCCCTGATTTTGTCTGCATTTCCAGCAGTCTGGTGAAATGTTCATATTTTTTTTTCCATTTTATTAAGCATTTATAGGCCGCCCTTTTCCCTGAGGGGACTCAGGGCGGCTTACAATAATAAGGGGGGGGGGGTGCAGGACAAAACACAAAAAGAAAATGTGAATAAAAATAATTAGCAGTAAAAACCCAACATT